TTGCAGGACTCGGTGCAGTGATCACCTCATTGTCAATCAAATCTTGAACTTCACGGCGAAGACGATAACAACCGTCAGTGTCATGACCGGTTTGTTGATGGAAGGCACAGTACTTGACAACATTATGCGTAGCTGGAAGGGGATCTGGGAGAGGTCAAGGGTTTGAGATGGCCCTTTTTGATTAACACGCCCACATGGCTTTGGATAAGGATATGTAAAGCGGGGTGAAGACCTTTTGGCCACGGGCCTGATGGCTTAAAGTTTGTGGGGTTGTATTGGATGTACCAGTAAAAGGGGAGGCAGGTGTTGACTGGATTTGAAGATGTCTTCCGAGTGTAGAATTGAAGCTGAAAGGGGTGTTTCTAGTACGACAGCCTTTTTCATGGCTCATCCCTTAATCTGAAATGCCCCGAACCTGAGTGGCAAAAGTGCCATTAACAGCTGTAAGCACTTGCTGTTTGTTCAGCCCTTCGACTATGAAAGCCTCAATATCCCATTGGAGATGTTCGTAAGGATCTATACTTGCCCCGACCATGTTCTTATCACTTGCCTCCACTTTTCCAAGGGATTGGGTCAGTATATCAAAGCAAAGCCCAATTGTTATTGACATGCCACCACCAAAACCTAAGATAGCTTTAGGTTGGCCCTTTTCAATTATAGCTTGCCCCAAGATTGGGGAGCCTTTTGGCATGAAATTTCTCGCATGTGATGTGGTCGATAATGGAGCGAAAATTACAAAGGCCAAATCTGCCACAGTTCTTTGCAAATTTTCAATCATGCTCGTCAGCTCATAAATAATGGGTTTATGGGCTTGAGATGGTTGGGTTTCGAGTGCATCCATCATGCACAAGTTCGTGCTTTCTGGAATGAACACCTTAAGCTTGGATAAATAAGCTGGGGTGATATATATGCTAGGGTTATAGGTGGATTGCAGTATATAGATTAGATTGAGATGTGGATGAGGTACTTGGTCATTGGGCTCTTAAGGTGGAGCTATCATCTGATTGTCGATGAAATTCTGAACCTCATGACGAAGGCGGTAGCAACGATCAGTGCCATGACCACGCTGCTAATGATACAGATAGTATTTGGTGAGGGTATGTCTAGCAGGGAGTGGGTCAGGCAGAGGTTGAGGATTAAGGGCTTTGAGATATCCTCTTTCCATCAGGACTTTTAGCACTCTGGTTAGGCTGATATAGAGGGGGGTGAAAGTTCAGCCTTGAGCTCGGACAGGGCAAGCCATTTGTGGGTTGGCATTGGCAAAAAGGTTGGCAGTTTTGGGAGTGACAACAACGGTATTGATTTCAGTGGGCTTGGGAATAGTGCTACTGCCAGCATTGGAACTCCTTGAAAAGCCAACATTGGTACTCCCTGAAAACACTCTACTTGTTGATTCGCTTGTTCTGAGAATAATCCCTTTGTTGAAAGCATTCTCGATCTGAACCCCCAATTCATGCAAAGTTTTGAAAGTGAACAGTGGAGTGACTATTAACTTCTGCAACATATCAGGCTCAAGGTTCTGCACCACTATCCGCACTTGGTCCCTCTCAGAAGGGTGATATGTCATCTGTGCTTCCTTTGCTCTCTACCTTGCAACAAATTCTACAAAAGGCTCTTTAGCATTCTGGTGTGTTGCTTCAAGGTCTTAAGTGGTTATTTCAAGTTGGGTATTGTAAGAATACTAATCGACAAACGCCTCAGCTATCTCTTCCCAATTCTGCTTTACTGTATCCTCCAACTTGGGATACCAAGTGGTTGCTATATTCGACAAGGTTCTTCCATACAAAGAGAGTTTCTGAGGCTTAGTCAGACCCATCAATTTCAGAACATCCAAGAAAAGCCGAATATGTACCACATGATCTCTAGACCCGTCGAAACGGTCAATGTGTGGCATTTTGAACTTGTCTGGGAGTCTGTAAACACCCCATTTTTAACCATCCACAAGACTTGGACGTCATTGTTTGAACACTCGATGATCATCCATGCTCGTGTTCATTTTGAGTTCCCGAAGGTCTCGGTCGTGCGCCTCGCCTTAGGATCTCTCAACTTCTTTGTTTTGTACTTAGTTGTGGATCAAGGACTTTTGGTTTTGCTTTTGAGGGAAAAGGGTGGCTTGTTGGCCATCCCTACAACCCATCGGCCAAGGCCTTTAGCCATCGGCTATGTTTTCTTGTTGTTGGCCATAAGTGATGGCCGATCGACACTCTTTTTGGTCGATTGGCCATATTTCTTGGCCGAGACCTTTCTATCTGATTTTTCAAATATTTTTGCGCCAGCTGTGATAGCTGGTAAGCACAGATCTCATCCTCTATACACGTGTATGGAGGGATTGAATCAAGACTCAAGCTTGTTTAACAAGCTTGAGAATTGATTTTCTATAAAAAGGGAGACTCCTCTCCCTTTCTAGGGGTTCTGAAAAAGTTGATATACAAAACATATATCACTCTCTCTCTATATTTTACCTCTCTCTCCATATTTGCTCTTGTTTCTGCTCAAAAGTGTAAATTCTTCACACTATTGCACACAAACACCTACTAGAACACCATCCTTTTGTTGCTGAGGTCCCAAGGAGCTGGTGTTAGAGTTTTTGGATTGGTTTAAGCTCAGAAAGGCTGCTGGAGTTATGTTCTTGAAGGTGTTCTTCAAGGGTGAGTCAACTAGCTTTTAAACCCTTATTTTGACTTAAGCTTTTGGATGTATTTGCATGCTGATTTAAGCTTAACTTTCTACTGTAAAACGTTGTGATTTTGCATGTTTAACATGTTTGTTTAAGGTCACTTTAGTGTTGGGGGTAGTCTACCCCCTCTTAGGCCTTGTTTGGTCTTGTTCGTGTGCCTTCCTTTTAAGCTATTGGGACCACCTTGTTTTGGCCTTCTCACCACTGAAACTCAGAGGAATTTCAGTGGTAGAAATGGTGTTTTGAGGTCCCAAATGGGAGAGGGTCATTCCCTCTCCGTGTGTCTTGTTTGCTTGTATTGATGGCTCATAAAAGTAACATGTTTGTTAAGCTTGTTTTGGCTCCACCTTAGCATGTATTAGACCTTATTTCAGCATGTTATACCTCTATGTAAGGTTGGTTTGATAGCCTCTTGCATGCACCATGCACTTGTAGTGCAATCCTCTCTATTGCCTTAACATGCATCTTGTGTTTGAATCATCATTCTTGCATGTTTTGGCCCAACTCAAAGAAGCTTTCCCTCATGTTTTACCATGCTTGAGCTCTGTTTGATGTTGTTTTAGTCATGTATGCATTGCTTTGTATAGCCTCAGTGCATTCTAGCTTGTTAGCCTTGAGTTCCCAAGTCACTAGCATGCATTGCTTGGACCATTTTCATGATTTGGCATCATTTGAAATGTTATTTTTGTGCATGTTTCATGGTCATATACTTGTGCTTGTCACTCTTTTAATGCCTAGGAGGTTTGGCTTTTTATGCCTCAAGAATGGATCCTTGTACATGCCATCATACTTAGGCCTTTGAGCTATCATTTCAGTGTGTATTTGGGCTTGTTTTGTCATAATATAGCTCTGATTTTTGTTGGTAAAGTCATGCCATGCTAGGTCTTGGTAGGTGTATTGTAACCCTCTTTATTGGCCTTGCATGTATCATGCCTTATGCCCTTCATGTTGGCTTGTTTTACCTTTGGGCCATGCATGTTACAGACTCATTTTGGCATGATCTAGGACTGTTTTGGTTGTCCTTGGCCCTTTGGGGTTTGATTCATGTGGCCTTGGTACAAGTTCCTTGGCTAGCCCTAAGCTTTGAACCTCCTAGCATGCTATGTTTATATTCTGTGCATGATTTGGCATCATTCCTCACATGATTCCAGAGCTTACTTTATTGCCATACTCTCATACTTGTCATTTCTTCATCATGTTTGAGGGTTGTGTTCTTGTTGCCTAGCTTACGGACCAATATGTGTGCATGCATGTTTTGCCTTTTGGTGCCTTAGTTTTGGTTTTATTGGCCACTGATTTGGGCATGATTGAGGTTTGCCCATTTTAGTTTAAGTCCATTTTGCACGCTTGGTACATTGCATGTTGTTGCATGCCAGTTGCATTGCATGACATTAATTTGCATGTTGTTGCATGTTTGGTGTATAGCATGTTGTTGCATGCTTGTTCCGTTGTGTTATTGTTGCATGCTTGTCGCATTGCATGTTGTCACATGCTTGTCACATTGCATGGTTCTTGCATGTTGTTTACATGTTTAGGTTGCATTGCATTGAGTTGGCATGCCATTGGTTTTGATAAGTCAATCATGTTGCATTGCATTGTTTGCACGCCATTAGCTTTGTCAAGTCGTGCATGCATTGCATTCTGTTTGGTTTGGGTGTTAAGCCAAACACGAGGAACGAGGGACGTTTTATACTTGAAGTGATGAAACGTGCCTCAATTCTCGGTCACTGACCCTCTTGATCATGCATGATAGAGGTTAAGGCATTTATGTGTTTTTGTGCATTCATTTGGCATTGAATTGTGCAACTTGGCCTCTTTGGCCATCATGCATCGAAATGCATGATTGATGCCTCGAGAGCCGAGTATTACACACCATTGAGTCTTAGACATGATAAGGGGTGTAGTTGCACACATATGTTCTTGCAAATAGATTGCCATGCCTCTGTTTGTGCTCTGTTGCAGCGAAAAGGAGAGTTTGCAAGAAGAGATGGCCGATCAGCTATCTAGTGTGCCGATCGGCTATAAATATTTGGCCGATAGCCTCAAAATTGGCCGATGGCCATTGTTCTCTGGCCGATGGCCATACCTCTTGGCCGATGACCTCTCAACATGTCCATGAGGTGGATCAGAGGTGTTTTGGAGATTTGTACAGTTTTGGGAAGTCTAAAACAGTGCAAACAGAGACAACATGAGGAATGGTAACGGATTTCTGGGAGGACGCAACCGAGCATGCATCATTCATCTTTCCGAGACAGAGTTGTGGCAGCTTGTTTCAGCTTCTTTCTTCTCTTACTAAGTAAGTTTTGTAACTTAGTTAAAGAAGAGGGACTCCAAAATCAAGCCCCTTGTCGGGCTTTCTCTTTTCTGAGAGAGTATTTTCCTGGCAGTGCAAGCCCTGATCCCCCACACTTCATCATCCACTACAGAGACACAGAGATTGAACAATCAATCATGTCATTCTCGTTCTTCAAGCCTTCGAGGCCTAAAACCCCTCAAGAGCTCGTTAAGGCTATCAAGGACTGCCTCACTGCTCTTGACGCCAAAACCGTCGCCGAGGTTCAAGCCCTCAAGAAGGTTCTCTCTCTCTCTCTCTCTCTCTCTCTCTCTCTCTCTATATATATATGTATGTATATCCAATGGTGATAAAAATGATTTCTTTATGTGAATTTTGAATTTTAAATCCTAATTTACATTTTCAGCTGCGCTTATTATAATTTGTGTCATTAATTCAAAATGTTAATTGGGTTCGGTTAACATAATAGCTAACCATGAATGCTTGGGAAATATCATATGAATGAGAAATTCAGAAACTAATTGCAAATCAACAGAGTGTAATTGAGAATTGTGCAGCCGTGGCACAGATCTCTCACTTGTACTGGGTACATGTTTTATTTGCACTCGCGTATTTGCAATTAGTTTTCCAATTTTTCAATAGAGTAATGCTATACAATTAACAAATTTTGGTTACTTATTGATGTAGCATCTATCATATCAATCCTGTTTCAGTTTTGACGGTTTCATTATTTCAGGACACATTTGTTAGTTTGTATAGTATTTTCTTTTGTGATATGCAAACTAGATACTTCCTATTTTATTTCATAACATAATAAAAACCTTAAAAAAGAAAAACTTGATCAAATTTGAATGAAGTTCTAATAAGACGAAAATATACTGACTTCTCTCAGGTTAAAATAGCCTCAACCAAACGAGGCACTAGTCTATCCCGCCCACCAGTCTCAATGTATAAAAGCTAATGTCGGGTACTGATCTTAGTAGCCCATTTTACCCAATAAGGGTGGCGAACTGTGTCAGATTGCGAATTTGCAATCTTGGTGAAGTTTTGCTGCCATGTGAACCGATATTTGGCTTAGTGTGAATCTGCTGTGATGTTTTATTTATTTTTTGGCATTACCCTGCATGCCAGCATGAAAGGGTTTATGATAGAATGCATTGGACTTGATAATAAATACAAAAGGTGCTACGATAAATTAGTACTAGTTTGCATAGCTCTATAAAGTATCCAAACAAATTGTTCAAATGCCTACTGATCCAAATTAAAGTATCAAAACAAATTGTTAAAATTTTAGGCTACCAATTTCCCACAAAAAAGTACAACCACTTTAGCCCTCCCCATTAGATGGGGTCTGGAAGGGTAGATTTGATATAGAACTCACTTTTAACATAATTTATACAAAGTGACTACTCTCAAATTTGAACCCACAACCTCAAGGTTAGTAGGCTGGGTTATATTAAGATTTTGGAACGTATGAGTGCTATACTAACTATAATCGTTGTGCATCTATGTTGAACTATTTTCTCTCGATATGTTGGCAGGCTTTGGAAGAAGTTGAGAAGAACTTTGCAACAATGAGAGTTATGCTTTGTGGAGATGGGGAGGTTGAACCCAACATGGATCAGGTTTCGTAGTTGACGCTTGAAATCTGTAAAGAAGATGTTCTTGCTCTTTTTATTCACAAGTTACCTATATTGGGATGGGAAGTAAGTTATTATGATCCATAGCACTGTTTCATGTCTTTGGCTTCTACTTGAACAATGATAATGTAATTTTGATACAGGCAAGAAAAGATCTGGTTCACTGTTGGTCCATATTGTTGAAACAAAAGGGTGACTCCACTTATTGCTGTGTGCAATATCTAGAGAACCATTTAGAATTACTAGACTTTCTTGTTGTGAGGTAAGTTTCTCTAATGGTTTTCCTTCAATTTTTGCATGTTCATTTTTCTTCTTCTTTTTGGCTCTCATGCATGGTGGAGGTTTGTATAATGGTATTAGAATAACTCTTTATGAGTGAATGGGTCCCTTTCCGCTTTCTTCAGCATCTATGTGGTCCCAAAGTGGGGACAGTCTAAGTGCTTCCACGAGAGAAGGCAAAAAATTGTTTCTCAACCTTTGACATCAAGTTGCTTTATAATACAAGATATGAAAAGTTAAAATTTAAAGTAGTTTCTCAGACAACCAAAACTGATAAGATGCCTTGTTATTAAAAAAACTAATTATAGGCTTATAACCATTAGTCATGTTATACCCATCAAATTTCAATCAAATATTAAGAAGGAAAATTTGTAATGTTTTGAAAGTAGTGTTTTCTTGTTACTTGTTACTTCTTAGTTAATACTTGTACGATCTTGTAGAGATGTGGTTTGGAAATACTCTATGGATCCTGTAAGACGTTCTTGATTCTTAGCTAGTCACCTGAAAAGGAATGAACACTCCGGTCGGGGGTGCCGGAATTAGCACTCCGATGGAAAAGTCAGTGTATACTCTCTTGGTTGCTTGTATCTCAAGTTAATATTATTTGTTCTCACATACCTTTTCTTAGCTGATGCTCCTCTTATTTATAGTCGTCCTTCATATTGATGGTTAGGCCCACCTTTCGACCAACGAATAACTGCTTACTCGGCTATTCTATCCTACCTATTTGTACTCGGCCCAGTTTACAGCTGATTCTACGGCCGATCTGGTTGTTCGGCCTCTATGTTCCTCCAGGACAGAGCCGTATAGCACATAACTTGATTTCTTTCTTTAACCTAAATCGGCTTCCCTACGTAATAATATTATTCGGCTCCCACAATTGCCCCCCAAACATCCTATTAATGTCAGTTATTGTGCATGTTTGGTCTTGGACTTAGAGGGTCAAAAAATACGGCGGTTTCCCTTATTCCAACGCAAGCATTAGAACGCCTACTCTTTTTAGGAATTATTATAATCTCCCGCCCTTTCGTACGTTTCATTCATTTAATACGATTTGAAATCGTGTTGTCTCTTCGTTTGTATGCTTTTTTGAATACACAAGGTTTCTCGTTGCCTGTCAGTTCACCTCCCTCGCTTCACGTCCTTTGCAACTTCTTTCCGTTCATTGTCCTCATTTCTTGTAAGTTTTTCTCTGTTCTATTTTGACTCCCATTTCTTTGTTTGCTTTTTGTTTAGAGTGTCCACTTTACTGGCTACGATGGCGAAACATTTGAAAGCCCTTTGCGGATCGAGTCTCTGATTTTCGTCGCATTTTTCCATTCTTGACGACGTCTATCTCTCACTCTTGGCAGAGAGCGTAGTTGATATGGAGAGGACTGATGAGAGTACAATCGTCTTTCCTCTCCTGTCAATCGTTGAGGGCGGAGTCCGTTTCCCCCTTCATCAATTTTTGAGGGCTGTCTTTCGCCATTGGAGTTTAATCCCTTCTCAGCCGAACGTAAATTTTTACCAAATAATAATGGGAATTGTAGAACTAAACCGACGCCTTTGGCTTAACCTTGGAATCCCTGCTATTCGGCATCGCCATGCCTTGGCCAAATCTTCTGGCTGGCAGGGGCACTACTTCCTTAGAGCCAAGGACACCGACCATCATTTGGTGACTATACTTGCTAGTTTTGGCAAGCGTGTTGATGATGTCATGGTCATTATCCGCGGCAACTGGGAATTCGGCGAGGGCGAAGATTGCCTGGATCCAATGCCTAGGCGAAGAGGCGAACCAGGTGGCCGTTTAACCCCTCATGAATTTTTATTAAGTATTTACCTGGTTCAAATTCTACTTATTTACCATTTTATTTGTGTAGGAAATGATTTGAAAAAAGTTCTTGTCTCGGCTGACGACGTTATACTTGCGCAGCTCAGAACCGCACTCCAGTTCCTTGGCCGTCTGAACCACCAGAAGCAAGGGAGGGCGGCCCACATTCTTCTGAGATACGAGCCGATATACGCTATTTTTTCGGCCGCAGATAACATTCCGATTCCAAGGGGTGAACAGCACCTTACGGCACTTATTTTTCTGAGCTTCAAGAACCTTAGGCAAATTAGTCTTGAAGCTTCAGATTCAGAGCCAGCGGACAAACAAGCAGCCGGAGGAGTCGCTGAGTAGCTGAATCAACCCTCATTGGACAGATCCGACGGACTAGTGGAGGAGGTTGACGCCGCACTAAATTTGGCTTTTGAAGAAGCCGGCCTCAGTCCTCTATCCACTTGTGGCCGAGCGGACGTGTCCTTCGAAGATATTTTCATCAACTTAGGAGACCTACCCGGCTCATATCCTGACAACATGGCTGCCCGTAGGAGAGCTAAAACCGAGCGAACTGAACCTCCACCCTCTCCACCCGACGCTAGGGCATAATCTCCTTCACCTGCTCCTGTTGAGGAGACGGTTCAGACTAATGTGGCCGAAACGGAGCCTGTTGTCGATCAACAGGAGGGCCAAGTGACGAAGCACAGTGGAGAAAAACATCTGGCCGAACACGAAGCTGATTTTTCGGAAAACCTAGTGGATAAATGGCCACGCATGGAAGAGTCGTACCTGGTTGTGCCGTTTATAATACAACCAAGGATAAAGAATGTGCCGGTTGCTTCTGATGCATCGGCTGTAAAAGACGCTGCTGTGGCCTTGAGCTCGGCCTCCTCCATTTCTCTGCCAGTTGACAGAGCAACCATTAGGGCAGAGCCCGATTTGCTGTCCATCGCATTGGCCGCTCAATCGGCGATATTCGTACATGATCCTTGTTTATAATTTTGCAAGGCTAAATAAAAGAAATTTTTTATATCAGCTTACTTACTAATTCCTTGTTTTGTAGGGGGGGAGAAGGATAGCTGAGATTGGCCGTTGCCAACATGACGCTATCGAACAGATTGGCTTTCTCACAGCCGAGGTGGAAAACGAAAAGGGCAAGGCAGCAGAGGCCTCTCTCAGAGTCGAGTCTGAAGCCATGAAAGCGGCAGAAGAAAGGGTGAGGGCCGGTGCCGAAGCAGATAAGGCCAAGACTACTGACCAATTGAGATTGGCCGCCGAGAAAAGGGGGAACGCAAGTGAAGAAGCGCTCAAATTGGCCAACGAGACGATTGCCAAGCTGGAGGCCGATTTGGAGGAGTCGTAGAGGGTGATGGCAAATGCTGAATCTGAGATTTCCAAGTCATTCCAAGCTGGCAAGGATGCGGCCTTAGAGAACTATGTAGAGGAAGTGCCTAAGTTTGAGAATAAGGGGTTTAAACATGGCTAGCTCAAAGCCTTAGCTGCCGCTAACGTGGTATCGGAGCAGCTGATTCCGTACGAGTAGGTAGACGTTATGTCACTGGAGTTTGACCCTGAAGACTGACCTAGGGTCAAAGTATTTTTCATTTTGTTTTCGTATCGTGTGTATGTAGGTTTTGTTAGATTTGTTAGATTTTTGACTATTTATTTTTGTGAGAAGCTAACGTAGGGTAGTTTTCATTTGTAAAATGACTTCTGTTTGTACTTAGTTTATGAATGAAAATTGCCTTTGCCTTTGCCTTTCTGCCTGATGCATGTGCTTGTTAACGGCTAAGTAAGATGTAAAAACATGAAATGAAATGAATGGAATAAACTACTGAATTAATCCAGCGCTAAAATAACTGCATAGCACTGCGACTTAGCCGAATAGATTAATGAATCTGCCCTTGCCCTAGCAAATTGATGAACAAGACCGCCGAACAACGGCAGTTCAGTGATTGGCTGGGGCACAGTAACATTTCGACGCATAGCCTTGATATTTAGGCCGAATAGATTAATGAATCTGCCATTGCCCCAGTAAATTGATAAACAGGATCGCCGAACAACGGCAATTCAGGGATTGGCTGGGGCATAGTAACATTTTGGCGCATAGCCCTGATATTTAGGCTGAATAGATTAATGAATCTGCTCTTGCCCTAGCAAATTGATGAACAGGACCGCCGAACAACGGCAGTTCAGGGATTGGCTAGGACATAGTAACATTTCGGTGCATAGCCCTGATATTTAGGCCGAATAGATTAATGAATCTGCCCTTGCCCCAGTAAATTGATAAACAGGACTGCCGAACAACGGCAGTTCAGCGCGTAGAGCATTGAAGGGAACGCTGCACCCGCGATTAATAAGAAGAGTGGGGGTTGCATTCGTTTAGGGTCCATATTGGTGTCCAAATTTGGCAGATCACAGGAGGGAGAAAAGTAGTGGGTTTAAACTAGATGTCTAGAAGACTATTCTTTAATAGCAAATGAGAGGGTAAGACACTGGCTGAGCTGGATTCAGCGATAAATCGAGGTGGCAGACCGTTGCGAACGAGAAGCAGGAGGTTGGTAGAGCGCGAAAGGTGCCATTCTCCGCGTCGTTGAAGCAGGTCACCTAGGAAGGAAAGGCAACAGCGGGGGAACTCCCCTCGCTCATGAAGTGAGACCAGTGGGGCACTACGCCCGTTGAGCTTTTCAGTCTCCATGGGGAATAAACCGATGACGGAGGCAGATTCAATCATCCGCGATCCAAATGTGGCAGTTGAATTCGCCCAATAGATTTTTCCCCCGGAAGTCCAGCAGTCGATGGTTGAGCGACTTGACTTCGAAGTTTTTCGAGAGGGCGTCCATGGAGAGGTGAAAGGGCTATAAACTTCATATGAAATCGGCATGAGTCTCCATGCTGCGCGGTGGGAGATTGAGTAGAAAGATGAGTGCATTCGAAACTTAGAGGCGCGCGTAGAAAGAGCCGAGCGAGAACTAAAATGTGCAAAAGCTGGTGGTAATCATTCGGCAGGTTAAGGTAACCTGATTATCGAGGAAAGGGTGACCCAACGGCTGCTAAACCAGGCCATTGCCGACCGTGATACGGCGAGCATGTTCGCTAAAGAAGCGATAAGGACGAAGGCCTATAATAATGGATTTTTTGATGGTCGGAAGATTGGTATAGAGAAGACAAAGGAAAAG